TTTTGTGTACCTACCTACGTTTTTAGCTGAAACAAAAATAATACAACCAAAACATTCCAAAAAAATCCCAAGGAATACGGTAGAAAAGATATAATATATACATATAAATATATAACCTACTTATATATTACCTATATATATATATATATATATTTACACATATAGAGGCATAACACTGCGAAATACGCTGGGATCCGTTTTGCTTGATATCGAAAGCGCCGCGGGTTTTAAGCTTATTAGTAACGGCCATTAATATTGTCACCGCCAGCTTAAACCCACCGCAGTATTTTAGCGGGTTTTCTGTAATTTATGCGTACAAATTCCAAAATCTACTGAAAAAAAAACGGATAAAACAAAAAATACCCACTTATATAGCTGCAGCATACCACCACCTATTGTATAATATATTCCTATAAGTAGGTGTGTACTTAAATAAATAAAACGGGACTATATAACGTTAGCGTTTGTCAATGTGGTGGCGTTTTTTGGAGGGAGTAGCGGACTGCGTGCCTGCGTGTGTTTATATAGTACGCAGTCGAGTCGCAATAATTCGAAAAACTCGGAAATTAGAATTTTTTTTTAATTTCCCTAGAACTTAATTTTGATGAATATTCGAGTTGGATATCTCGAATAATATAATAATCATAATATTATCCCGAAGCGAATTTTTGCATGTCTCTCTTCGACTTATCATCGCAACCCGACTGTATAATAACAATAACGTGTAGGTACATATTATTATATGTAATATACTTATTTCATAAACGGTCGAGTTCCTCGGCAAGACCGTTTTCGCGATTCGTGCACGGCCAGCAAACACAAAATAAATTTCTCGCTGTTAATTTGAGAACTTTATGATGGATTCGCCTATAAATAGGTATAGGTAATACCACGTTAAAGGATAAAATAGCCGCACGAGCGCCAGTGCCGGAGACGCGTACAAATCGTTGTTAAGAAACACTTTCGAGTTWCCAGTTAGGTTTTACAGCTTATGTACAATATATAATATTATCAACTTAATGACCGTATACATTATATTATATGTTATTGTTAGTTTATTTTTAACGGTACCAATAATATAGGTAGGGATACTTAATACTTATACGCGTGCAAATAATATTACCTATGTACAATTTGTGAGGACATAAAATATGTGTACCTTCTCATATAGTATGTAACCTACTGCAAATGTATGCGACTATATTAAATTATAATATAGGCAAGCGYTTTTGAACTTATAATGCTTTAAAAAAACTAAGAAAATTGTTTTTATTTATACCGGCAAAGTTATTATCGATTAAGATTAAAATATTGCMGGCACTATGAAAATATGTGGGTAAGTATCTATAGGTAGTTATTGTTATACCTATCTACCTGTTATACCTATAGGCTATAATAGTATATGCTCAGGGTTAAAAATAATAATAAAAAACAATTATTTTATATATTTTTTTAACCAGTGAATAATGTGATGTTTTTATTGATTGAGCACAACTTTAATCTGTAAATGTTGATGACGACGAGTTTTTAGGCTGGTCGAATATTTCTTGTTAGTTTTAAGAGGTAGGTGTTACATATAGCCATAACAGTAAGTAGTAACTATTTATTGTATATAATATAATATAATTCACAGATTTTAGCTGAATTTGAGAGAAAATTATGTTTAATATGAATTTCGAAGTAGAAAATGTATTATTTTAAATTCAAACTGGCAATATCGGATGAAAAAAATACTAATGTCTATGAATAGCTAAAAAAAAATAAAACAATTTGAAAAAATTTATCTTGTTTAGGATATAGAATTACAAATATTTGGTGAAAATTTCACGGTCATTCGGTTTTTAGATATTATAATAATTCAAAATCGATTTTGTCAAATACTAGTTTGCGTACGACTAAAATCARAGCATTTTTAGTGCACCAAATGGGTGATTTTAAAGGTGATGATAGACAGATAAAAACACACACATTATTGAAAAATCAATCATTGCTCCGCTCAKAATTTAAAATGTAATTCTTTATTATTTAATATATCATATTCGAGAACCTTCTGCCTTGTGTTATTTTAACCAATTGACTAAGGAGACGATCAATGTCAATCTTCGAATGATCAAGTATATTATATTATATGTACACAATGTACAGGGTGATTCACCAAGCATGCYCAACCCCATTTTTCTTTAAATAATGAATTCATGAATTTTGGAATTTTTAAATACACTTAAAGACCATGATTTCAAGTTCTTGATAATTTTTATACTACTTGAMRAATGTTCTGCGGCGATTCAAATATCTGTTTTTCAAATAAGAAACCCCTTTTTACTGTTAATTAGTTAGTGGACAGCTTTTTTGAAAATGTTGATGTATCTAATTTAAAATTCGAATGTTTATTATCTTAGTTATTGAAATGTTTATACCTACTAAAGATAACAATTTTTTTTAAATTGTTTC